CCTGGGTTCCCCGGGTTCCCCGGGTTCCTCGGGTTCCCCGGGTTCCAGGCTTCCCCAGGTTCCTCGGGTTTCCCGGGTTCCCCGGGTTCCTGGTTCCCCAGGTTCTCGGGGTTCCTCGGGTTCCCCGGGTTCCTCGGGTTCCCTGGGTTCCTCGGGTTCCCTGGGTTCCTCGGGTTCCCCGGGTTCCCCGCCCCCGGTGTCTGATATTCTTATTGTGCACGTGTCAAGCAATGCCAAGGAATGCCATGCAATACCAAGCAATGAAAAGCAATGCCAAGCGCGGCGCCCATGCAAGAGGAAGCCTTCCCCTATCTGGGGTCGCGCCGGGCTCTATGGTGCTGCTGATGATTTTGGTCGTTGTCTTTCTTCTTCACCTGGTGGGCTCCAAGCATGTAGTGTTGTCATCCGTGGGTCGCCCTGTGGGGCGAAGCACGACGCAGGAAACACCGTGACATAACAGGGCGGCCAGTCCCACGGCCGCCCCTGCCCAGGGACGAGAGGAATGACTGCGACGCCTACGAAGCAGAGAGAGCAAATTACCGATCTCGGTGACGCTGCTGCCTGCCCACCAGTAGTTCAGCATTCTCGCAGTGGGGTTAAGTCGGGCATGTCCTCTACAGGAGGAGTATTCAAGAATAGTCAATAGTCTGGGGAGGATTGGTCGATTGTTTTTGAGCAGTCTTCTGGCTATGTGTCGAAGATCTTCTGTTTATCGTCCAAAATCCGCCTGCGCGATGACATGCCCGACCGAACAGTGGGGGGTAACCCTCTGTCCCCCTCCCCCCCACCCTTCCGTCCCCGAGGACGAGCAAACCTGGGTAATAACGCGTTGATGAGCGACGGGGGTCCATGTCCTGACATAATCAGCGCGCCCCGTCGCCATATCAGGCGGCACGGGACTCGTGTCCTCGCGGTACATTCCCCGATCCATAGATATTGCGCCTTCGCGCCAGATTCACGGATCCCTGAGTGCTCGACCTTCTCCCTCCTCCATTCCTCCTGTTCTTCTCCAAATCCTCCCGTCCTGCTAGGCGGCGTTTGGGCCGTGCACTGTCGGGGCGATCGGACCTTGCCATTGGTTGGTAAAGCATTGTCATGGCTTTCGCCAAGGTGGCTGCGCAGGGCATCTCGTCAGAGCTGCTCCGACCGTACCCGTGGTTGTAAACCAGTCGCCCTGTAAGGGACCTTTGGGGGAGGGAGGGAGGGACGGAGGGGGCTGGATGCGCTCAGTCCCATCAGCTCTGTTAACACGCGTGGGAGGCATCCTACGCTTTCCGTCTTCACCTAGGCGCAATCGTACGTGTGCGAGGGCCATACCCTTCGGTGCACGAACTGCTGCGTTGCGGAGCGCGGCGTACGCGGTGGCCTCTCGACAGCCTCTCGCGTGGCTCGCTCGTGCCTGGTTGCATCCTGCTGGCGCGCAGTGCAGCCGACCGCGTCCCCCTCGCAGTCCGCTTGTCCGCTGACAGGACAGCGGTCCGCTTTTTTCTCGCTGCCTCCTGTGCTTTTCCTTGCTTTGCCTACGGGCACTTCTTTGTTCTTGAAGAACTGGAGGGCGCGGGGCCTGAGGGCGCTGGGGGTCCCCTGGGTTCCTTGGTTTTGTTTCCTTGCGAGGGCGTTCCCCAGTGTTTCTCGGTCTTGTTTCCTTTCAAGTCCTTGCCTGGGTGTCTTGGTCGTGGTTCGTTGGTTCCTTGACCTTGTTTCTTTGGTTCCGTCCGTGGGATCCTTGGCTCCTTGGTTCCTTGGTTCCTTCGTTCATTGGTTCCTTCGTTCATTGGTTCCTTGGTTCCTTGGCTCCTTTCCTTGGTTCACTGGTCTTGGTTCCGTGGTGTTGGTTTCTGGTTTCCTTGGTCTTGGTTCTTGATTCCTTGGTCGTGATTCCTTGGTTTCTTGGTCTTGGTTCCTTGGTTCCTTGATTCCTCGGTCTTTGCAGCTGTGTCACGCAATGCCAAGCATTGCCAAGCGAAGCCACGCAATGCCAAACACTATGACAATCGATGCCAACCGATATGCCGAGCACTTCCCAGCGATGCCAAGCAATGCGCCTATGCAATAGTAAGCTTTCCCCTGACTGGTGTCGCGCGGGGTTCAATCTATCTTTGAGTCGTTTCCTGACTGGCCTCTTCCTTGGGCCCTTCCCCTCTGCCTTCCCGTCGCCTTCGCCCTCGCTCCCGCCCTCTCCCTCCTTCCTCCCTCTTCACCTTCCGGAGCAGGATCGCCGGCATACCCATAAACTTCGGAGTTCCGCGCAGATGTCTTGGCTTGGTGCCCCTCCCCCTGCCCCTCCTCCCTGCCCACCTCGCCGCTGCCGCGCAGACGCCGGAGAACCCGCTGGGATTCCTAGACCGCCTGCTGGAGGAGAGCGCGCGGTCCCTTTCGTACCTGCCCAGTGAGACTGACCATACGGAAAGTGACGCGCTCGAAGTGATCGACTAGGAGGACGGGAGCAGGAATATGAAGATGAGGAGGAGGAGGATGAAGAGGGATGATGATGATGATG